AGTTCGGACGCTTTATTCACGACCAGATGCTGACCCATCAGTTGACAGCCATCAACACGCACATGGACGTGGGCAACACTTACTACGGGCCCAACAGAGCTAGATCACGCATTGACTACTTCATCGGCTACGACAATCTCATGGAGATTGTGAAATACGTGAAGTTGAATTGGAAGATCCACGCCAAACTACGTAGCCTACTGCATGTTGCTGATCACGCCCCCATGATCATGCAGATCAGGGTGCCTGTCAGCGGCGCCAACATCACGAACAACAACATCCGCTGGGACTCCGGCCTCCTTGCTGCTGGGCTCCAGACGGGCGCCCACCGTGCTGCTTGTCTCAATGGCGTCTACGCCGAGGTCAGCAAACGCAGGGAGGTCATCCGAGTTGTCAAGATGGATCAGTTTCCGACCCGCCACAACGCTCTCATCGCCCATATCATTCGTGAATGCGGCCGCAAGTATCATACAAAGGAAGGAGGAGGACAGCCACAATGGTACCAACAAGCTCGACTTGAACGCCTCCGCTTGCATAAAGAACGCGCCGACTACCGAGCTTGACAACTACCCTTCAACCACGCGGCCCTGCGACTACGAGCACGCCAGCGCTGGATGGACTACTGGTGGAAAGTCAGTCTCGACCAGGACATCCGCGACGCGTGGGCTACTCGCGACCTCTCCCGGGTCGCACACCTTACGTGCATCCGAGCAGGACGACGGACGGGACCACGACGACGATCACACCTTGCACTGCCATCCACGCGCCCCACTGCAGCCGAATACACAGACGCCCTCACTCAACCAGCCGTTCAAGGGTGACTTTCGGCCGCGCCTGCCTACGTCAGCATGTATATCGACGACCCGACGTCTATCCCACGATTACTGGCCCAATCGAACGACATTCAACCGGTGGGGGAGCACATCGGCGCCCCTGAGCTCCATGACATCGAGACAGCAGCAGAGGAGCTCGACCATATGCAGAAACGACTGTGGAGGGAGAAACGGAGGCGCTACAATCCACCTCGGGCGTGGCCCATCGGCTCATCGAACTCGCCATCATGATCCTCGCCCCGCAGTATTTGACGCGCCCTGGCGTTCAAAGGGCAGGGATGGGACATGACGCTGCAGACTACCAATACGCGGACCCGCTCGCCGAGCGAGTCTACCACTCCAGTCGACGGAAGCCCGTGACCGACCACGACGTAAGCTCCACCATCATCCAGACTTTCGTCACACTACTCGCCCACTTCCATCGATGTGGATCTGTGCCCGCCCAGGCTTTCACTAGCCAGGCGGTCGCCATCGGCAAAAAGGGAAAAGCCCCACTGGCAACGTGATTCAGGATATTCATGCACGCGTGCGTTTACTTCATTGTTTCGACCGTTTTTGGCGATTGTATCTCAGGATAGGACTCACTCAGTATGAAACCCAATTCGACCCACCGCCGTGGGCGTACGGAGGCATTCATTCCCGTCGCCGCGAGTCGCTCATGCGTATTGCTAAGCTTTTGATATGGAAGATGCGATCAGCCAGAATGTCTTTTCTTTGTAAGTCGCACGACATGCGGAACGCATTCGCGACAGGCTCCCACGAGCGACTGGTCGCAGCCCACACACTTCGATGCGAAGACGAGCATTTTCATCGCCTCCTTGAGCAGCATCGACATGATGCTGTAGTATTTCTGCAGGCCTCTGATGCCAGCAAAGCTCTTCCACCAGGGACAGGAGGGAGGATGGGCGACTCAAACGAGCCTGAACTTTTCATGGAGCCATGTTATCCATTAGTTGTGCAGTGGTCCCAGGAGATGGCCCAGGTCCAGGGAAACCCGTTTCAGGTACATTGTCCTTTCACTGGCGAAGAGCACGATGCGCATCTTGGAGTTTTCATTGACGATCTAGTCAAGATCCTCTTGGTGCCAGATGACACGTCCCTCCAGGCGCTGCAGATTGATATGATCGACAACAACACGCTCTCCCAGGCCCTCGAGGCTGGCGGCTACGCACAGAACATCAGTAAGCAGGACACCCTGGTTTCACTGGGCACCCATGGGGCTACGAAGGAGGCCGAACGGAACATTTCTGGGAACGCTGTCCAGGACTTGATTCATCTCGGTGGATATGTACATGTCGCTAACAATAATCGTCGTGAAGTCGAGGCCCGCATACAATCAGGAAAGACTGGGTGGTGCCGTCTGGGCGACTACTGGTGTTCTGGAGGACCTTTGAAGGCTAAACGCCTCGCAGCAGGCGGCCATAAGCAACCGCCCCGTCAGCGCTGGCACCCTCAATTCGCAGGGTGAGATCTCCGCAGACCCGAACGTGCACCCGTGGGCCACACAGCTCGCGGACGATTTGCTTTGCCGATCGTCTCATACGATCGGCGAGAGCTTTCAGGAAGCGTGGCAACCTCGAGTTGTAAAAAACCTGTGGGACGACGAGTGGGTTCGAGAGGCCTTTCTTAGCTGCGACGTTCGGTCTCTCAGGGCTTCCTATTGGACGACTCAGTGGGCTCCCCCCGAGGCCGGCGTGATCACCTCCTCTCTCCCCTCGGCGTCAGCATACGACGAGACGGACACCAATGACGAGACGAACCGCCCCTTCGTGTGCAACGCCGAGTCGTGCCAGAAACGGTTCGGGACGCTCAAACAGCTCGCCACACATCAAACCAAATCTAAGAGCCTAGGACATGGCATGCCAGCGGTATTGACTACGCTACAGATCGGCAACACATGTATTGTGTGCCAAACTACATTCCCACATCAAGACCACGCAGCCAGACATTTACGACGAGCATGGCAAGCAAGTAGATACATCCCAGAACTTACGCATCAAGTATACCCCTGGGTCCCAGTCACATGTACCACATGTCCTTTACGGGGCCACGCTTTGGACCATGCATGCCAACATGAATATCATGATCAGCAAAAACTCCGAGTTCACCTCCTAGGGCATGTTCCACCGTCGCCATCGGGTTCCATGCTCAAGCCTGTCGTCAGAAGGCTTACCACGCGCTCGGCCACTCCGAGCGCTCACCCGCCGCGCCCCGCGCCATCCAGCTGCCGCTCCTCGCCCGCCGTCGAGGGCGCCCCTGCTGCGCGCGCTGCCATTCGTCAGTCGGCGGAACACATCGTAGGCAGCGGCCTACGCAGCAGAGCGAGACACCGACCACTTCGACGGCTACGAGCAGCACAGCGTCCAGCAGCAGAAGTACATGCAACACCTCAAGGGACACCTCGAGCGGCTACTGTTTCCTCTACGCCTACTCTTCCTGTACTACCTCCTGGACCAGGGGATGACGCCCAAGCAGAGAGCGTCGTGGCGACTCCCGCTGGACTCCTCCCAGGGCTCGAAGGGCTCTGGCGCCGCCTCCAGCGCCGCGGCAGGTCAGAAGGCGACAAAGGCTCCACGCCCGCCAGGCCCGCCGCCGCCACCGCAGAGGCGATCTCGATCACCACGAACACCAGCCGAGGAAGGGGGGGCAGCCGCGCCAGCAGCCACGCCCATCGAGGTGGACGAGGGAGACAACGGCGAGAAGGACATGAAGACCGACCACCCCAACCGACGCCCCGCCCGCCGTGGAGGACGCCGCGGGCGCCGCGGTACTCACAACCCCAAGGCCTGGAGCAGCAAGGACAATAACTTGCTGGACTTGCTACGGCCGGCCCTGAAGCCGTTGCTCCAGACGACGCACAAGACCAGGCTGAACAGCAGCATCAACACGGACACCTACACGATGAGCAACGAGCATCCAGTGATCATAGCCATCACGCAGGAGCTCGAGGGCTACGAGCACACCTTGGACTCACCCGGGAAGAGCTGCACCCCAGAGGACAGGAATCGCCTGCAGGAGATAAGATCTCCAGCCCCGTCCCTCACGCTCGCGGCCTTGGAAGGATTGCACAAGTGCGACGTGGGCGGGTCCATGAAGGGGGCCATCCGCAACTGCCTGCTCCGAGCGGAGCCCGAGGACATCGAGGCGGAGGCCGAGATCAGCAAGGAGGATCTCCTCGACGTCATCTCCATCGTGCGCCTGGAGAAGTGCTACGACGACACCAAGACGAAGCTGGTGATCGGCGCGCCCTCGTGGGAGGGCCGAGTCTTGATCAGCCGCGCCCTCGAGGCCGAGGGCCAAGCGGTCCACCACAGAGGCGTGGCCCCAGCGGGCTGGCTCGAGGAAGAGGTCGGCCACTGGCTGGAGACCCTCGAGCAATGAGCCCATATGTTTGCCAGAATGAGCCTGCATGGCACGATGCAGGCATCAGTGGAGAGGAGGCGATTCAGCGCCGTGTCATTTTTGTTCGAGGCGAAGCCCTCCCTGCCAGCAGCGGCGCGGTCACGGTCGTGTACCCTCCCTCCTCCGTCGTGCCTCCACCCCATCCTCCTGCCGTGCCATCACAGGAGCTAATCGAGGTGGAGGCCCCACCTGAGTTCGGCACAATCGCCGAAGACGAAGCGGCGGAACATCTTTTCAGCTAGCACCTGCACGTTGCTCGGCATGCGCTGCGCAGGAGGCCCCTCTGCGCAGCACCCTAGCAGCACGGCCCACGCGGGGCAACACGAGACATTTGGCTCTCTGCGACGGATCTTTGAAGTCTGGCTGCATTGTACGCCATAGTTTTATATCAGATGTTGGTCCTAACGTCGAGGAAAAAACACCGTCATCAGCATCATCAGCAGCATCATCTGCATCATCATCCTTCTCTTCTCCTGCCTCATCATCAGCAGCAGCACCATCATCATCAGCAGAACCAGTTTCATCAGCATCATCATTGTCATCATCATCCTCATCCTCAGCTTCTCTACCTCCTTACCTCCTCCCGTTCTCCCTCCTCCTCCTCCTCCTTCTCCTCCTCTTCCTCCTTTTCCTCCTTCTCCTCCTCCTCCGCCTCCTCCTCCTCCTCCTTCTCCCCTCGTCCTCCCTTTCCTCGTGCCAGTCTCCTTCCACTCCCCCTCCCCGAAGACTTCCCCCTGACTGCCGCCCCGGCGTCCCCGTGGCCAGGTGCTCTCGCACACCCGCACCGCCGCTGCCGCCGCGGCGCCCGAGCTGGAGCCAGAGGCGCGCCTGGTCGGCTGACGTCGGAGGGATGCCGAGGGGGGCGACGAGGAGGACCCCGACTTCGGGCGTGTGCTTCAGTCTTGGCAGCAGGCCCAGCGTTCGGACATCCTCTGGTCTGCGCCCGCGCCCGCGCTCGCGTCTTGGCTGGGCACTCGTCCCTGTTTCCCCCCTCGCCACCACACCTCCACATGCTCCTATGGAATCGAGCTGCTGGCCATTTCGTCCAGCAAGGCCAAGTGTAAGTGGGGGGAGGGGGTCAAAGGGCCGAGATCAGCGGGAAGGGGAGTTGCAGCACTCGCCGCTTCGCCATGGCGATGCTATCTCCACGCTTATTGCGTTTGCACGGGACAGCGGAGCGAGAGTTCCAGAGATCCAGTGTTTTGATCTTGGCGTTTCGTCCTCCATGCGGGGTCCGAGCAGATGAGGTCGAAGGATCGTGCCGCATCGCCGACATGCATCGGCGATGCGGCGTGCTGCGGAGCCCGATCTTCTCCACACCGACTTCGCCGATGCGCCCTCGACGTCGATGACGCATCGCCACTACATCGGCGATGCGGCGCGACCCTCGATCCTCCGAGACCCGATCTACAGTCAACCCGCACAGGAAGGATGAGCAACCTTTCTAGGTTGCCCCGTGCATCCCTCCCCTTCGGCTGGCCGCTTTCGCCGGCCGCGCCCCGCACGCAAAGTGCCGACATGGCCTTCCAAGGCCCTTGCGTCCTCATCTCGTGCGTCCTCATCACAGCTGGGTCGAGGCATATAAGGTCGAAGGTCGAGGTCGGTCTGGGGAGGGTACCCTGATGTTGTTCGTGCTTGTTGGAGGTCGAGGTCGGTCTGGGGAGGGTATCCTGATGTTCTCCGTGCCTGTTGGATGCTCTGGTGCGCCCTGGGTGAGCACACCCTCGAGTGGTCTTTATGGAGATTGGGGGGTCTTGGCCGCCCGTGGCCCTTGCGTCCTTGCCGTGCACTCCTCCTCCTCCTCCTCCTCCTCCTCCTCCTCCTCCTCCTCCTCCTCCTCCTCCTCCTCCTCCTCCCTCCCCCTCCTCCTCCTCCTCGTCCTCCTCTTCCTCCTCCTCCTCCTCCTCCTCCTCCTCCTCCTCCTCCTCCTCCTCCTCCTCGACTGCACTCCGAGCCCCTTCGGGAGAGGCCCTCCGTGTTCCGCGCCCGGCGCTCTGCTTCCGCCTGGGCATCCCCGGGGGCGCGCGCTCGGGTATGCGAGCCCTACCCGCCTGAAGAGCGCCAGGGCGTCGGCCGCGTCGGCGGGCGGGCCCCCCTTAGCAAGGCGCTCGCAAAGGTTGCAGAAGGCAGACATAGCGGCGGGCTCGGCCAGCACCACCCGCCAATGCGCTCCCGAGCGAAGTGAACCCCACCCTCCCCCTCAGAGATCGTGGGGGGTGGGGGCAGGGTTCGCATGTGGCCCCCTGTTCGGGCCCACCCAAAAGGGCAATCAGGCATGAGTCGGGCGCCTACCCCTTGGAAAGGATCGGGGGCGGTCAAGAGGGGGGCGATGACTAGGGGAGATCATGGCGGGGGCCATGATGTCTCCCCAGATTTCCTGGCGCCTCTTCTTATTCGAGTGGCTTACGCCATGCCGCCGACCCCCACAAGGAGTGAGTGTTTGAGACGATCGTGGAAAGTACATCTTTCGAAAGGGGCCTCCTGGATAAACCTGAGGGTCTCTTGGGATGCCTCTCTGGGGCCTCTTGGAGGACTCTGCGGGGCTCGAGCGGCCAGCTCGACGGGACAGGCTTGAAATGTCAGCCCGTACTCCCCAGCTTGGGCTTCCTTGGAGCCCTCTTGGGGCCCGCCAGCGGCCGCCTTGGGTCGCCCCTGGGGCTGTCTGTGGGCCCTCTTGGGACCGCACGTAACATGCAAATGTGCTGAACATGTACGGTAGGTTTGCGTCGCGTCGACCAGCGGCGACCCCAGCGCGGGCGTTCAAGGTTGAACGCCGCCGGCGACCCAGAATCGATCGATGTTGAACGATCGGACGTTGCGGCAGTGGCCGATCGTTCAAGGTTGAACGATCCCTGCGGTGTCAAAAACCAACGCTGGGGTCGGCACGACACGAACCTGCCGTACGCGCTCCCAAGGGAATGCGATAAGGTGTACCCCTTGGGGCCACCTCGGCGATCCTCTGGCGGCGCTTTTGGGCTGTCTTGGGGGGCCCCGTGGGCCGTCCTGAAGCCATCTTGGATCGTTGTGGGGCTACCCTGGGCCGTCATGACGCTCTCTTCGACTGTCTTGGCGCTCTGTCTGGGCCCCGTTGGGCTGCCTTGAGGCTTCTCTGGGGGCTCCCGAGGCTCCGGGGGTGAGCGACGAGCTCCCCCCCCCCCCCCCTAGAATGGCATTTTGGACCCCAGGGAAGGGGGAAAAGGGGGAGGGAGACAGCCAAATGTCTCACACGCCTTTCACCCCGGGCAAGCGGGGGTCGGCGGATGACGGGAAGCGCGTACGAGAAACGAGCAGCGTGGAGTTCAATATGTCTTCAGCCCCCCTGGGCCGCGCACGTGCCACCGACCATGATTTGAAACCCCGCGTTTTTGGACGCCCCCTCTAAGAGCCTTTTGTGGTTTCCACGAAATGTTCTTAGAACATTTCTGGCTGGGACTGTCTTGTCTTATCGCATCGGGTTTATGTTCTGAGAACATTGCTTTTGTTCTCAGAAGATTTCTGGGTTATATGAGCACATGTCGTGGTAGGCCAATAGGAATGCTGGGACGGTCGGTCCCTGCTCAAGGGTGGCTTGCTGGAGAGGGGGCTCTGCTCAGCCCCGGGAGGCGAAGGTCTGGGGCGATGGAGGCCAGAGGAGGAACAGGTACCCATACTGCTGCGCACCCCTCCCTCGTTTTCCCCTTTTTGGGGCATCCTGGGGGGGGGGGGGGGGGCCCGCGTCGCCACCGCCGGATTCGCCGCGATTATCGGACACATTTTTTTTTCCGGATTCGCCGGGGGGGGGGGGGGGGCCCTCGTCGCCACCGCCGGATTCGCCTCGAAGTCTTGGTCGGAGCGCGCTCCAGGAGAGGTCCGGGGAGCGGCGGTGTTGGTACAGTGGAGACCCAGGCCAAGAAACACCCTGCTTGCCTCCAGGGTGCCTCGAGTTTCTTGGGTTTCGATGGCTTTGCTGTGGAAGCCGCGACGCTCCCACAACGAAAAATCAAGAGACGCCCTGGGGTCTCAGGGTTTGCTTTGTGGAAGGTTTCCTGTGGTCGGGCCCCTCCTGTATGGCTCGATCGGGTCCAGCAGTGAGGCTCACGATGGTGTCCTGGCCTGGTGGACTGGCCTCCACTGTACAGTGCCGTTTTTTTATACATGCTCCGCGTGCGGATCATGTATGAGAAATGCAGGGATGCAGTACTAAAAAATCCGATGTATGAAAAAACTGTCCTGTACTGTATGGCTCGATTGGGTACAGCAGTGGGGCTCACGATGGTGTCCTGGCCTGGTGGGCTGGCCTCCACTGTACCCCTTGGCTTCCCCAAGAGGGTGCTTCGCCGTCGCAGTCGTGCGTGCTGGCCCTTCTCCTCGCGCCGCCTCGCTCCCCCGTCTCCCCGTCCTGCCCCTGGCTGCTCCCGCAGCGGTCCCCCCCCCCCGCGGAGCGCGGACCTGGCGCTCGCTGAACTGGTGCAGGGTGCAGGCCCCTGGTGTACGGCGCCGCCCCCAGGCCCTCCTCCTCATCCTTCTCATAATCTTTGCCCTCCTCCTCCTCCTCCTCCTCCTCCTCCTTCCCCTCGTTCTCCTGGCCCTCGACATCATCATCGTCATCACCCTGCCAGCGTGCGGGGGTTCGTCAGCGGTAGCGCCTCGCCGGCAGGCGCCCCTCTACGACCCGAAGGAGCTGCCGGGCCTTCTGCCAGAGGACAATTCCAAGGCCTACTCTTGGCGCCCGTGATTGAGAAACTCACAACGTCGGAGGACTGGGAATTGAGAGGGGGAGGACGGACGGGGGAGTGGGGAAGGGAGACGGGAAAGGGGGAAAAGGGGGAGGGCGGGGGGGAAGCGAGGGGGAGGGAAGGTGTAGGGGGAGGGGGCTGGGGAGGGGGAGAGGAGGAGGGCGGAGCATGCAGATGGTGAAGGGAAGTGCGCGAGGGTTGAAGGGGGGAAGTCGTAGGAGGGAGTGCCAAGGCCCCCCGCTTACGTTGAGCTTGATTGCGCAACACGGGTTCACACCAGCTGGCGGACATGTGTCATGGAGATTCGATGCCGTCGAGCGTCACGCACAGGCTTGACTTACAGGGTATCGCGTGCCATTCGCATCGCAGGCCAGCGAATTCCCCTGGCACATTCAGACCCTCCCTCCGTTGCAGACATGTGATGCCGTGGGTTGCCGTATCGCGATTTGACGCGCAGAGAGAGGGAGAGAGAGAGAGAGGATGTCTGTCATGCTTCTCCTAAGTGGAGGGCACTGGCTCCACATTGCGTGCAGAATTAATGGTTGCGTTTGGCCTCGTGACTGCACCATCTGCAAATCGCAGATTCTGCGCAGTACTGAAGAGATGTTGGGCCGCTTGAGCTCCCAGATTTCCCAGAGCATGCACATTGCCTCCCCTTGCTCTGACTGCAAAGTGGCATGGATGGGGTTGATGCCAACGAGTGCTCAGGCGTTCGACGTGCGGCAGATCATTGCCAGAATTGTCGATGGCTCGCGCTTCCATGAGTTCAAGGCGAGCCATCTTCATAGGAAGGACCGCAGAAGAGAGCAAAGCAGAGGGTGGGGTGGGGGGGCGAAGGGGGAGGAACACTGGGGGAGGAAGATGTTGGCCACTCGGGTTCAAGGAAGAAGTAAGGCCGAGCATGATGACGGCGGCTAGATGTGTCTGCTTGACGGCGGCTAGATTTGTCTGCCTCTCCTGTTTCTCAGACGTGCTCTCCTTCCTCGTCCTGCTCTTCCTCCTCACTACCACTGTTATCCTCCTGCTCCTCCTCTTCCTTCTTCGCCCCCTCCTCGTTCTCTCATTCATCGTCCGCCCTTGACCTCCCTTAGCCTCCCTCACCCTTTTGTCCTCTCGTCTCCGCCCCTGGGATCTGGCCCGAGAGTTTCGTCGCTCCGTCCCCCCCCCCACTTTCCCCCAAACTTGCGCGCCCACCCAGCGTCGAACTTGAACCACGTTGTGGTGGCATGAGTCTAAGTTTAAGTCGAGCCCGTCCCTCTATAGGGGGAACAGTCAAAACATAATCACAACAAAGTATGGGGGCTATATTTCAAGATGTTTGACTATGTTTGCATGTGCTTTGAATATTTTCATTTGTCTCCCAAAATCCGCCTGTAGGGGGACATGCCCGACCAAGTCTAATGTCGAATCGCCCGCACAACGGCAACCATTCGTTTCATAATGATCGGTCCTCGCTGCTCGTGTTTCATTCAACATGTATGCAAACCCCAGAACGCTCGATACCCGCCCTCTTCGTCTTCTTCGATCATACCCCCTTGAGAGGGGGGATGTGTTCCTCGCCTGTCTCATGTGGTTGGCGCGGGCCATACAGCCAGGAAGAGAACAGGGATACACGAAAAAGGGATAGGGCGAGGAAGGGATTATGTAACGGGAGGGGAGGGGACAAGTGGGAGACAAGGTGATCGACGGCGAGCCAATGTCGCGGGAGGGGGAGGAGGAAAGAGGGGCAGGAGGACTGGCAGGCGGACCCCGACGAGCGGGCCAGGCGGGCGGACCCAACGAGCGAGTCGGGCGGGCAGACGGCGGCGGCGGCGGCGGCGGCGACGACGACGACGACGGCGGCGGCGGTGGCGACGACGACGACGCGGCGGGCGGGCGGGCTTAGACGGGCGGGTCGGGCGGGCGGAACCTGACGGGCGGGTGCATGACGCCCGAGGGAGCCCAGGTCGGCACGAGCGAGATGGGTACGGAACAGAATGGGTGCAATGGCCAACAGCGGTTCCTGCTCATCTTGCACCGGACCCGCCGTCGGTGTCGCCGCGGCCCGTGTGCATTTGCGGCAGAAGGCCGCCTGCCCAACAGCGGCCGCTGTTGGTTTGGGGCAACATCTTTCTGTTGGGCATTGTACCATTTTTTCCGTAGGGTGCCGTTTTTAATACATGCTCCGCGTGCGGATCATGTAGTAAACATGCAGGGATCTAGTATTTAAGAAACAACGATGGGTTCATGAATAAATCTAATCATAAATGAACCATGTATTAAAAATCCCATGTTTTTAGAAATCCTGTGTATTAACAACTGCCCTGTGCCCATTCCGGGCGTCCAAGCCAGGGAGAGGGGGGGGCAGCTCGCCCGGGCGCGTCCGCGGAGGACGGTGGCCTGGAGAAACTCCGATCCCCCCAGCAGACAGCACAGGACGGCAACGCCACGCCCCGACGTTCCGAGGGGGCCTGGAAATCAGCGGAGGCGGCAACTTCGACGACGACGACGACGACGAAGACGACGACGACGACGACGACGACGACGACGACGACGACGACGACGACGACGACGACGACGACGACGACGGCGGCGGCGGCGGCGGAGGGGGGCGGTTGCGGCGGCGGTGGCGGCGGCGGCGGCGGCGACTTCGACGACAGCGGCGGTGGCGACGGCGACGACCGCGCCGGGCGCGGCGGCGGCCGTCAGGCGCGCTACGGCGTGACCCTGGTGTGCGGCTTCGCCCACATCCACGGGCGCGCCCGCGGAGGAAGGGGAGCAATGGTGAGGAGGGAGCGCAAGGGGAGGAGGAACAGGAGGCGCAGGAGCAGGAGGTGGGGGGAAGAGGGGGCGGAGGAGGAGGAGGAGGAGGAGGAGGAGGAGGAGGAGGAGGAGGAGGAGGAGGAGGAGGAGTTGGAGGAGGAGGAGGAGGGGGGAGGGGGAAGAGGAGGGGGAGGGGGGAGGCGGAGGGGGAGGCGGAGGGGGAGGGGGAGGAAGAGGGGAAGGGGGAGGGGGATGAGGACAAGCTTTGTGCGCTCGCGTCGTATCTCACGTCCTACCCCTCCCTCCCATCCCTTAATAATCATGGCGTAGGTAGCCTCTCTAGTCGCACAGTCGGATGTCGAGCAGGACAATGATCGCGAGAAGGTACGCGATGCATGGTAGAGCACGGCATGGCATGGCGTACGAGAGCACGGCAGAGCGTAGCATTCCATAGCATGGCGTGGCATCGCGCCGTGAAGCATTGCATAACACAGCATTGCAACGCAAAGCATGGCACCGCACAGCGGCGAGGATCGCAACACTGCACAGCATGGCATTGCATAGCATGGCGCCGGGGTCCTTGGGGGGTAACCTTGGAGGGTAAGTGGATCTTCTTCGACAGGTTTGGGCCGGTCTGGAGTCGCGGCTCCATGTCTAGCTCCTTGGGCTCCCCCGAAATCTCCACACAAGGCGGGGCTGATGGAGAGCACCCGCTGGCTCTGCTTCCAACATCGCCTTTTCAAAACAGAAAGGGGCTCCTGCTTAATATTTCCTGAAAACGACGACGCCCCAAAGTGAGGCATGGGTGGGGGGCTTTGGCGGCCCAACAGATTAAATAATCGATGCCGAATGCAGAATCACTTCCGATGGTTTTCTCGGGGGGGGGGGGGGGGGGGGGGGCATGTTTGCCCGCGCTGCAGCGGGAGCACGATTCGGAACAACCAGAGGCGCAGGAATGGTGCCAGAGCTTCAGCGGGAGCAAGATTTTGAAAACAAAAACCAAGCGAAAACCATTTCCCAAGAATCTTGCGTGTAAGCAACAGTTCGCGGAGGGGGACCAGATATCTTCCGGACGTCATCATGGGAGAGAGGAGAGTAGTGTTCATATTGTGTAATTGTGGAGGAGGAGGAGGAGGAAGAGGCACGATGCTGGACGAGCATTCCCGCGCCGCCCTCGCAGACAGGTTCCGCTTTCCTTTGTGCCCGCTGGGAGTAGCAAACTCCGCACACAAAGTGGAGTTGCGTGCGGAAAACAGCTCGACACGCCGGCCAGCGACACGCCCTAATGTCACGCTAGGGCGTGCCCACGCGGGCCCTTCCGCAATAACAAGCACAACGGCCTCCGGGACTGTTGTGCCGGCTACCACCAGCGTGCCACAGGGTTCGTGGAGCAAACGGAGCCAAGGGTTGTTGCGTGGGACAGGGCGAAGCCGTGGATAGGGCGCGCTGAAGAGGCACAGCTGGATGTCGCCACCCGCGACGTGGTGACTGAACAGACAGCGTTTTGACAGTGTCGTGGATAGCGACCGGGGTGAGAGACTACCCCTGCGCACCCCCTCTGGTGTCGAGAAATTGTTGCGCCTGCTAGGCGTTTCGACATTGTCGTGGATAGCGGCCGCGGTGAGAGACCACCCCCTGCGCACCCCCTCTGGTGCCGGGAAATTCCTGCGCCTGCTAAGCTCTTCGAGATTGTCGTGGATAGCGGCCGCGGTGAGAGACCACCCCCTGCGCACCCCCTCTGGTGTCGAGAAATTGCTGAGCCTGCTAGGGTTTTCGAGATTGTCGTGGATAGCGGCCGCGGTGAGAGACCACCCCCTGCGCACCCCCTCTGGTGTCGAGAAATTGCCACGCCAGCGCTGTGCTGTGCTGTGCTGTGCTGTGCTGTGCTGTGCTGTGCTGTGCTGTGCTGCGCTGCTTGTGTGTGTGCTCTGTGTGTTGTCATGTGTGCTTGTGTGCTGTGCTGAGCTGTGCTCTGCTGTGCTGCGCTGCGCTGCTTGTGTGTGTGCGCTGTGTGTTGTGATGTGTGTATGCGTTGTGTGAGTTGTGTGAGTTGTGTGTGTGTCTATGTGTATTGGTGTGCTGTGCTGCGCTGTGCTGTGCTGTGCTGCGCTGTGCTGCGCTGTGCTGCGCTGTGATGTGCTGTGTGAAAGGAGAGGGAGGAGGAAGGTGGGGTGTGGGAGCCGCGGGTGCGACGAGGCAGGGGAGAAGACCAGAACCCAACTAGTCATGTGGGGAACAAACGTCATACACGTAAGCTTTTGGAGCTCCGCGTGGGCTTCTTCGATCTACGCTGAGCCCCCTGATTTCGATGGTTCCTGATTCCGATTCGATTCGGCTTTAGATTCCGATTCAGACTCCGATATTTTGGCGGAGGTCCTTTATAGCGTGCCGATGTCCGCCGATTCGCCGTCTCCCGACTCGGCTGCCGACTTCCGCCGATCCGATTAATTTTGATCGCTGGTCCGACTTCTCGGTTCAAGTCCAGGCTCTCTGCCCGGAGCGCGCGGATTTTCGCCATCCCCTGACCCCCTTCGGGTCATGAACAACATCACGACGGATGGTTTTTCCGTACTTTTGGCCTCTGGGGGCCTTCACCAAGCCTCGGGGCCGTCCAAAATCGGTTCGGAATGAACAGCCGGTCCTAGGAAATGGGTCCAGAATTTTTGGAGCCGACGTCATAACAACATCGTGACGTCGGGGGTTTGGGTCGGGGGCCATCGCCGATCTAGCGGCGATGTTGTACAGGCATCTGATGTTGTAAGGAACCTCCCCCCGAAAGGGTGGGCCAGCACCGCTTAACCAACGTGCCAAAATGTTGGCCCGGCTTCTTCAGCACGTGCGTCCTCCAGCGTGAGTAGAAAAGCTGGCCAGGGTTTGTTTGATTAGATTTCCTGACACTTGATGGCCGATTCCAGTTGATGTTCTTCATCACATGTTCGGCGGATGGCCGATTCCAGCTCGGCGCTTCCCCCCCCCCTGAGGAGGTCCCCCCCGTCTCGTTGCCCCTCAGGGGGTCGGGGGTTCGGGGGGGGGGGGGCGCCCCGCGGGAGTGGGCTACATGGAATGTCTTATCTTGACCTGTTGTGTGCTTGAGGCCACCTCTTGCCTGGAAGCCAAAAGTGCTCGGGGGCCAGGGGGGAAAACAAAAACGCAGGGGCAGGCGCGCACGAGCGGACGCGTTGAGGACTCGGTACGTCCAGCGGGCCCTAAGCATTTTTTCTGACGCGAAACTGACGACAAGAAAAACGATGCCTTTGACGCATCCAACGATGCAAGCGCAGTGGCAGATGTTTCCAGTGGCCCACATCTACGAGTGGCCGTCGGCCCATCCGGCCACCGCGTCTGGGCTGCAGGCCAGAGGCCTATGGGATGCGTATTGGGGGTCTCTTGGGATGCCCCTTTTCGGAAACCTCTCGGAGGCGGTTTTGGGGTGCCTCGCGGCCTCTCGGGGGGAGGAGGAGGAGGAGGAGGAGGAGGAGGAGGAGGAGGAGGAGGAGGAGGAGGAGGAGGAGGAGGAGGAGGAGGAGGGGAGGGGGGCGTCTTGGGGCCTCATATTGGGCCTCTTGGGGGTCTCCTGGGACGTCGTGGGTGCCTCAGTCTTGGAAGCCTGCCTGCGGTCTCGGGGCTCATCTCGCGGCGGGGGGCTCGAAGCGGCCGTCCGAGCTCCCCGTCTCGGGGGGCCGTCTCTGGGCCCTCCCGGGCCGCCGTGCGGGGCCTCTTGGGGGGGGCCGCCTGGGCCGGCTTGGAGCGCTGGCATCCCGAAGGGGCGGGGCCGCGAAAGTCTAGTCACAAAGCAGACGGGGAAGTCAACGCCGTGTGCCTCTCGGGGCCTTCTGGGCGGGGGGGGGTTCCTGGAGCCCTCTCGGGGCGCCTTTTGGGCCTTTTGGCCCGTCTTGAGGCCACGCTGGGCGTCTCGTGGAGCTCTCGGGCCGCCTCGGGGCCCTTTTTGGACCGTATTGGGGACCTCTTGAGGCCCTCCCCGTCTACGGGAAAGCCGCGCGGGCACACGCGGGAAATCCGGGGATCGCCCGAGAGCGCTTGGAATGTTGGGATGCGGGCCTTTTTGATTATATGCAGTCGTTGTGTGAGAGATTTTCTGCGGTGGATTTGACCTTGGATCGGCAGGGAGTAGAGGACCTTGGATTGGCAGAGACTGGAATTAGAATTAGAGTTGGAGTTGGAGGTAGAGTTCGAGTTAGAGTAGTCGTTTTGTTTTCCGACGTTGGACCTATGATCAATTCCAAGTGATATGGCTGTCTTCGAGGCTCCAACTGGTGCCTCGGGGCACGGTGGTGGATCTGGATGGTGGAAGTAGCGAGGTGCAGAATCGGGGTGCAGCAGTTCGCGCCACCAGTTCGATGATGATAGCGATGATGCCGTGTGCCCCCCACGAGAGGAGACGGTGTCGAAACGCAAGCTCTCCGAAGCAGCAGCAGGAGGAGAAGGACGGGGAAGACAAAGCCAGGCCAGCGCGCCATGGCTCAGCTGCGGCGCACGCCAGACAGAACAATACATGCTCCTCCTCGTGTTCCCCTCACCCCCGTCCTCTCTGTGCCTCCTCCTTTCTCCCGCATTTGTCCCTCTATCGGGGGTGCCAGGTACCCCGTGGGAATTGTCGCCAACAATGGTATTCTCTTCAGCGAGTCGGCGCAGAAGGCGGCGCACTTCATCCAGCTCTGCGGTCGATCCCCTCCCGCTGGGGGTGGCCCCATGGCCCATCCCCCCTTCTCGTTCTGATCACTACCCCTTCTTATCGTTTCTTCCACCACCTCCTTCCCTCCACAACCATTCAACTTGAGTCTGTTAACCAGCGTGGACCCCAAACAGTGCTTGCTGGCAATACGTGCAGTACAGGCGGTGCCACCGATGTGGTGCAATCCGTGTGGTGAAGTTTACGCTGTGCAAAGCAACGCAGAACAACGCAACGCAATGGTAATGCAACGGGGCGGGTAGTGGGTAATGGTGGAGGAGGAGGAGGAGGAGGAGGGAGGAGGAGGAGGAGGAGGAGGAGGAGGAAGAAGAAGAGGAGGAGGAGGCGGAGGAGGAGGCATCTGGGAGGCCTCTACGCCTTGGGGATCTGGGAGGCATCTGGGAGGCATCTGGGAGGCATCTGGGAGGTATCTGGGAGGCCTCTGGGGAGTGCACCGGGGCGGCGGCGGCGGGCGGGCATTTGGAGAACTGGCGCGGCGACAGGGCGGGAACCGGACCGCCGGGGCGACCAACGGGCCCAGCGCCGTAGGAGCGAAGCCAGGACCAAAACCTCTAAATGCAAGCACCGATTGGGGAACATCTGAAGACTATGCTCCCCGCCCCTCCTCCCCCTCCTCCTCCTCCTCCTCCTCCTCCTCCTTCCTTCTCCTCCTTTCTCCTCCTCCTCCTCCTCCTCCTCCCCCCCTCCTCCTCCTCCTCCTCCTCCTCCTCCTCCTCCTCCTCCTCCTCCTCAGGACCAACCTCCAAATGCAAGCACCGGTTGGGGAACATCTGAAGACTATGCTCCCCTCTCTCCTGGGTTCCCTGGGCTCCTGGGGAAGTGGGCCCCGTTTTCTCATACGCATATGGGACATGCACGTGTGGTGCGTCGTGTGGTCTTTTTTGGCGGCTGGAGCGTTTTGGGGGCTGTAACGTGGTGTTCCCCATGCAGCGCTGGTCGCATCTTAGTGATTCCTCACCGTTGTCGCCTCCCCTTCCCTGACCCCGCATTCCCCTGGTTCCTGCTGCTCCTCCCGTTACTCCTAATCCTGCTCCCGGAACGTCCTCCTCCGCCTCCGCCTCCTTCCTCATCCTCCTCTTGCTCTTTCTCCCGCCATCCCCCATCCCCGTGCTCAACCGCCACCTCCTCCAATGTACGCAGGCCCCCTTTCTGATTGCGCCACTTACGATGAGGTCGTGTTGGGGGTTCTAGGTCCGCTGTGACACACGCCAGGGGATCGAGAGAAATCAGCGCCATGGGACGTGATGGGTAGGATGTCAGATCTGGCGCGAGCGCGCCCAGCTTGTGAGTCGTCCTCTCACCCTCCCCTCCTCCCTCGCACCGCGAGTTCACAATGTGAACACTATTATCCTCCCTCCCCCGGACATGTTCTGAGAGCAGCGCGACCCCCTCCGCATATTGTGTTTACACACGGTGGGTCCGAGTTGGTTTTCCCCAATGTGTTGTTCCCAATCCGAACGTTCTCGGTCCTTCCAATGTGGGGCCCCGCTGCAGTGCTGGCCTCACCTTAGGATTGGCGGTTTGCTCCCGTCCTTCAGAATGGCGATCTCGCCACAGCTCGGGCCACATGCCTGCAAGTGATGTTTCGTTCTTGTCGCCCCACTTTTCAGTTCCCCTCCCCCGTCTTCCCCTGGTCCTCCTGCTCCTCCCGTGTCTCCTGCTCCTTCTGTTGCAGCTGATCCCTGTCCTCCTCCTTCCTCATCCTTCTCCTATTCCTCCTGCTCATTCGCCAGTTCCTCCTCCAACTTTCACAGCTCCACGTTTCAGACTGCGCGTACCATGATGTGGACATTTTCGATGTTCCAGGTCCGCTGTGACAACCGCTGCAGGATAGAGAGAAACAACGCAATGGGAAGTGATGAGAGGGAGGGGTGGGATGTCAGAGGTGGTGCAAGCGAACCTAGCTTGTAACATTTCCCTCTCTCCCCCCCCGCCCTCCCCGCCACCCGCCGCGGACGCACAGACAAACGCTGAGGAAGCATGGGAGGAGAAAGAGGAGCGGACGAGGGAGAGGGAGGAGATAGAGGAGGAGGAGGAGGAGGAGGAGGAGGAGGAGGAGGAGGAGGAGGAGGAGGAGGGGGAGGAGGGGGGGGAGGAAGAGGGGGAAGAGGAGGAGGAGGAGGAGGAGCAGCAGCAGCAGGCGAGGGAGGAAGGGAGCGAGGAGGAGGAAGGGGAGGGGGGGGGAGGATGGCCCACGAAAACACCACGGCACCCACGGCATGCCGACCTCCCCGCCTGGACCCGCTGCCGCCGCCGCCCTCGCGGCCCGCCCCGCCCGCCAGGTCAGCGCCGAACGCCGCTGCTCTTCCTGCAGAACATCACGGGCTTCATGGTCGGCAAGGCCCCGCCCGCCCTCGTGCCCTCCAGGGGGGGCTCCTCGCATCGGCGGGGCGCCAAGTGGTGCGAGGAGGAGGAGGAGGAGGAGGAGGAGGAGGAGGAGGAGGAGGAGGAGCAGCAGCAGCAGCAGCAGCAGCAGCAGGAGCACGAGGAGGATGTAGTGCGCCATCGAGGGGGGGATGGGCAGGCGAGGATGAGCCGGAAGAGCGGAAGGGCAGGAGCAACAGTAGGGGGGGAGGGGAGGAGGCGGAGGAGGAGGAGGGAGGATAGAAGAGGGAAGAGAAGGGAGGGAGTGGAAGAGTTAGGAGAAGGAAGTGAGGGAGAACAGGGGGTCAAGACAAGACAAGCTATCTCACAATGTGACCCCGAGGCGCAAGCCACATGCCAGAGTTGGTCTGTGACCACCACGAACCCGAAGACGAAGTTGAGAGGCCCGAAAAACATCCAGACGCAATTCCGAAAGAGAACTGCGTAATGTAAGCTGAAGCGAACAAGCTGAACCGCAGGGAACTCGATGCGGCCCACTACGGCACCGAAGTAGCACTGGTAATCTGGCAGACCCAATTCCGTACGACAAGGTACGGCTCCAAGACGGGATCGTAAGCTCCAAGAAACAGCCCTCTTGCAAAACCCCGGCTCTCCACACCAATTCAATTCGGAGGAGAAAATGCAAGAACGCAGCTGCTAGCATGCACCACAGCGGATTAGATTGGGAACTTATGACGTACATAAGCCACAACAATCCCACGTTGTGGTTCCGGGGGCGAGCCACGCCCTTGAATTGGTCTGCGACCACCACGGGCCCGAAGAAGTACGGGAGCCCGAACACGTTGCAAAAGCAATTCCAATCGAGAATTGCGTGAACCATAAGTTGAAGCACAAGTTGGATCGAAGTGAACCCGATGCGGCCGACGACACCACCGAAACCACTGACCATCGGGCAGCCTGGAATGCCATACAGCTAGGTACGGCGTCCAAACGGGATCGTGAATTTCGGAAGCCAGCCCCCTTGCTTCACCTTGACTCATCACACGCATTCCGAGGAGAAGTGTTAGAACGTAGTTGCAACTTGCAAGGCAATTTGAATCTTCGAGACGTACGAGCACCGCAAAGAATTGCAACATTCACAAGGATCCCACACAACCAACAAGTAGCGACCTTCCCACCAAATGACGCTAAACGAACCATACAGATAAGAACGCCCTCGTGGCACTGTGCGATACAGACTGCACAGCAGGAGTACTTGCAATACCCACGCCTCACAGATGTTGCACCTACCATTATGAAATAAACAGCTTGCGCTGGCCAGGCTCATCCTGCAAAAGCCCACCCAAAGGTGCGACCGCCTCTCGCTGGCCAGGCCCAGCCAACGCCGCACCGATAGCCTATGGGATGGCAACAGCAAAAACCACCAAGGACGAGCTCAGCACAATTTCGAGCGCTCGCCGCTGATGTTGGGAACGATGTCGCCGCGCTGCTCGACACGCTTGGCATGGTACCACATGACGCCCGCATTCAAGTTCGAGTGCGGCTGGGGAAGAGTGCGAGGAAGGTGTTGTCCATAGGCCAACATCACCGTGATTCTTCAAATGCTGTTTTAGATTCTGTCGCGCACGATGGCCCCGAACCTACCCATGAAGTTGAGTGCACGCACCTGTGAAACCACCGAGGACCTTCACTGGCATAGCGGGTTTCGTCCATGCTGAGAGCGGCCGAATGTTCTTTTATGTTGATGGTGATAGAAAACCCCCATCGCGCAACCAAGGCCTAAAGACCCGTCAAACTCACCAAGGAAAATGACACGCATGTTGAGATACGAAGCAGTTGCGCACAGTTCGATGAGATCGATGGTACCTTTTTTTTGGTGAGGAAGTCTTGAGAAACGAGTGGGCCTCCTACCTGCATACTTGCCTCTATTTCACAACTACTTTGAAGAATATTAAGCTCGTTCCTCTCCGAGAGGTACATTTGTTTTGGCTGGTAGCCAGGGAAATGACAAGGCGGCGCGAGCACCGTGGGTGTAGGGCCTGCTTTGATATAGTCGCTCTGTATACAAATCGCCACCGTGGTTGTTGCTGGTATCTGCCCAACATAGCCTCGATACTTATGTTCTCGTAGAACCGACTACGGTCCCAGCGGTTGGGCTTGGACTTCGCGTAATGCCCGATGAGGCGGCCCAAGTAGTTCCAACACTCCTGCGGCGGGCAGATACAAGCCTGGATGATGAGCGATGGTGACTTCCGAATGGACTCGACGACGAAAAGCTGGAAGCTGTTCAGAACCTCAAGCTGGGCACCCAGATGCTGGTGCAGCATCATGTTCGAGCACAGCCGTGTCGATGTCTGAGACGATCGAATTCGTTAGCATGTAGGTGCTCTCATCCGCGATGGCCGGGCCGAACTTCACAGCCATGTATAAGTTGAAACGAGCATGTCTCCTTTCGTAGACTTGCAATGCTGGAACCACTTCAGCTGCTTTGACTTCCCCTTAGCGCCACGAGAAGGCAGGATGCGCGACCCTGCGAGCAGCCGAGCCTAAAGCTACTGACACCTCGAGCCGCGATTGCTTGAGGAGGGAGAACGGGGAGTGGAGGAGAAGAGGAGGATGGAGGAGGAAGCATGTCCCTTTGCCCCCTTCTTTCTCCGCGTCTCCACTGGAACGAGTCATCGGCCCTTTTGGTATTTCGCCCTTGTCATCCCCTCTCTCTCTCTTCTTCTCTCTCTCTCTATTTAACTGTGTCTCTCTCTCTCTCTCTCTCCTTGTTGCCTACCCCTACCCCTCCCTGTTCTCCCTGCCCCCTGGCCGTTCACTCCCTCCATTCCCGCTGCCCATCACAGTCTCTCCAACACCCCTCCTCTCATCAATCCTTCCGCTTCCCACCTCTCCTCCCTCCCATCCCCTCCTCCCTCCCTGCATTCCTCCTCCCTCCCCGCCTCCCTCCGCTCCCGATGCCATCCTCGTCGCTCCTGCCTCCGAAGAGCGAGCGCTGCACCCGCCCCCCATGCGCGAGCAACCACCGATATCGGGGAGTTCGGCGGAGCGCCAGGCGAACAACGGAACGGGCGAGGTTACACGCCAGTCGTTGAAAGTAGGTATTCTTGGATTCCCAGATCCCACAATCTACTTCAAACGCCGTCCTACTTCAAGAATTGATCTATCTTTGCTGTGCTCTGTATTCTCTGGGAGGGCCTGAGCCCAATCTGCTTTATCCGCCTTCCTACTTCATGTGTTCATCTACGTCTTCCGACCGACGTACACGCTCGCCTGCCTCAACAGCAACGCGAGGAGACGGGCTGCGCCTCATTCCTCTTCGCGCGAAGCACAGCTGCCTCCCCCAACGCCCGCCGAGCGGCACTGGGAGCTGGGTGAGTGAGGCTTCACAGATAGAATCGGGGTCCTCATCCTCTTCTCCTCCTCCTTCTCCTTCTCCTCCTCCTCCTCAATTCCTTCTCCTTACAGACAGCTCCTCCCTGTAACACCCAGAGGCCAGTTTTAGGGCGGGCCGGGCGTTTCGCTTGAGACTTCCTCACCATGTATGACCTTGAACCTAAACAGTGACAACAGTTTAACGGATTCAGGGCGGGTGGTTTTCAAAATGTGGCTCTCGCCTTAGCGCCGCGCACATTCGTTTAACAATTTGCAAGAGTTTCACGGATTGAGGGCGGGTGGTTTTCAAAATGTGGTTCTCGCCTTAGCGCCGCGCGCATTCGTTTTCAAAAGTGCAAGAGTTTCAAGGATTGAGGGCGGGTGGTTTTCAAAATGTTGTTCTCGCCTTAGTGCCGCGCGCATTCGTTTCAAAAAGTGCCAGGGTTTCACGGATTGAGGGCGTTTTTGTTCCAACATGCGGTTCTCGCCTTAGCGCCGCGCGCATTCGATTTTAAGATTGGCAAGAGTTTCACGGATTGAAGGCGGGTCGTTTCTAAATGTGGTTATCGCTTCAATGCCGCGCACATTCGTTTCAGGCAAAATGCAAGAGTTTCACCGATTGAGGCGGTCCCTTTTCAAAATATGGTTCTCGCCTTAGCTCCGCGCACATCCGTTTAGAAACTTGTAAGAGTTTCACGGGTTCCCATGATCAACGTACCAGAAATTGTGTTTTGGAAGGATTCGGGATTTTGCGGGCGCAGCAGTTTTGTTGATTCACTGTCTTGAAATCAAAAAATGACGTTCTGGCACGGTTCTGGATTGTCAATACGCAGCAGTCAGGTTGATACGTGGCGTTGAAATCCCGAGAACAATCTTTTGGTACGCTTCAGGATCTTCAAACTGCTGCCTTCAACGAGGCAGCTCCCCCAATGGAAATTAACCGTTGTAGGGGCCTTTGGAGAGGGAGGGAGCTTGGAGGGAGGTTTACTTCCAACATCGTTAAGGACTCTTGGGTTTCCACTGGTCCTCCTCCTCCTCCTCCTCCTCCACCTCCACCTCCTCCACCTCCTCCTCCACGTCCTCCTCCACTGGTCCTCCACCTCCTCCTCGTCCTCCTCCTCCTCCTCCTCCTCCTTGTCCTCCTCCTCCTCCTCCACCTCCTCCACCTCCTCCTCCTCCTCCTCCGCCTCTCCGCTCCCGCGCCTCCCCAGCGCAGCTCCCCGGGGGCCGGAGAGGAGCTTCCGCGCCCTCCCCTGGCGTCCGCACGGGAAGCTGCCCAGGCTTCCCGGCGGCCCCAGGGGCTTGCCAGACACGGATATACACACACGTACACACACAAGTTGTGGGAAAAAACACTTGTGTTTTTGTCCCACATGTGTGTTTCCTCCGTGGGAAAAATGTGTTTTTGTATGTTTGTGTTCCCCACATGTGTGTGTGTGTTTTCCCACACGCACACACCCGCCCTTAGTGGGCCCTGGAAACGACAGGGCCGTTTTTTTACCGGCTCCGTTTTGCCGTTTTTTGCTAGTTCCGACGCTGTTTTTTTACCGGTTCCGTCGCCGTTGTTTGACCGGTTCCGGCTCCGGTTCCAATCCTGGAGCCGTTTTTTTGCCGTTTCTGGTCGCCGTTTTTGTTGCCGTTTCCATTTTCAAGGGGCATTTTGTCGGAGACGGTGGAAAAACGGCCCTGCCGTTTCCGGGGCCCACCAAGCACACACACACACACACACACACACACACGCACACCCGCCATGTCAAATGACCATCCGTCACCCTGAGACGTCTTGTAAGGTGACAGATGGATCGGATCGTATTTACAAGAGAATTGTGAGCGACATTCCCGAGTCGATTGTGAGGATTTTTCGCGCACTCAACGAGTGCTAACGCTTCATGTGCACGGTTTCCGACGTCCTCCAGCACAGGGACCGCGCCCAGGAGGTACCATATCGCACCGTTCGGTGTTGTCAGATGTTCTCCAAGACGCAGTGAGATTTGCCAGGATCTGCAGGAAGAACTGTTGGTGAGATTTGCAGGAAGAGTTGTTGGGGGGATTGCGAGGTGGCCCTCCAGAGACTTATGAAATATGTGCGAAACCGATCCGGCCACAACGACCCGACTGAGAAGCAGAACAACGGCCCGACTGAAGCAGGACAACGGAGGAGAGTCAAGAGAGGCAACGACGACCCGACTGTGAAGCAGGACAACAGAGGAGAGGCAAAGAGAGGCGACGACGACCCGATTGTGAAGCAGAACATGTCGTAGAAAACATGACCATACCAAGGGACCCCCTATTAGCTACGCTCGCGTGCGCCCTTCGGCGTTCTGAGGCTCTTCCCGGATGCTGGATTAGTAATAAATCATAAGAAAGAAATGTGTAGAAAGAAATGGGCGGAGTCATGCCGTGCGATATTTGGCATGGGCAGTTCGCAGGCCCTTGCCCGAGGTGGCCCCCGCGCCCCAGTCAGTTGAGCAGGGCCTGCCCGACCAGTCCTTGCTTGCTGGTTAATGAGTCCTTTGTTGTGTCCATTTCTTCCCTCTGGCCTTGGCATCGCTCGGACGTGTGCTTTTTTTCCTCGGCGAGGACCATGGAGGAGCACCCTGGATGACTTCGCGAAAACAGCACGCACGAGATCGAAAAATGCACGAGGAATGGACGTCCGAGCGATGGCAAGTGGCAGCCGCATGCAGCTGCTTCGTGAGATCGCCAGCTGCTCGTGGTGAGGCTGTGGTGCGGTATGAGTTCTGAGTTGGTTATCCGGAGGGAAAAAAACACACAGACGCAATTGATCGTCAATTCCAAGGAAAATATGCGAAAATATGGGAAGTGGGGGGGAGACGAAAATCCGGAAGATATGGGGAATCCTGTTATTTGTGTTTATTTATTTGTGTGTCCCAGGGCCCCTTCAGGTTATAAGGTTACTGCGACAGGGCACTGCCTACACGCGGCGGCGTATACGAGCAGAGGGAGGAAGGAGGGAGGAGGGGAAGGGGAGGGAAAAGGCGTGGAGGGAAAGTAGCGATACCACATGCACTGCGCATAGCCCCTTGGACACAGGGGCTGACTTGGGTAGAGGGCGACTGCTCCGGCGGACAGGCTACAGGGGATACGCTGTGTGCGAATTAGGGCCGCGATGCACGATGGAAGAGAAGGAGCCCCGGCGCGACAGGGAGAGAGGAAGCCGGGCCCACTTAGGCAAGTCACCAGCTGCGGCAGGGGAAGCGCCATGGGGGGGAACCAGCGCCAGCACTGAGCCACACACACACACACACACAGCTCGGCGGCCTTCCGGACGCGCAGGGCCTCCAGCGCCTCCCCGAGAAAAACCTTGAGGGCTATGGGGGTGGTCCCACCCCCCAGGGCTCGGCGCGGGGGCCCCTTGGGCCAGGGGCGCTGCTAGCATGAAATCGGGCGTGTCCATCTACAGGAGGGATATCCAAATATTGTCAAAACATATACTCTGGGAACGATTTGTCCATCATGTGTTGCCCATTCAGGGGCATTTGGGGGATATTGTTCTATCGTTCGTCCAAAACCCGCCTGCAGGGGGGCATGCCCGACGTAATGCTAGCAGCACCGGGCGTGGTGTGGCGGCTCCTGGGGATTGCCACAGCGGTCCCTGGAGTTTGCTGCAGGCTGCTCGTAGCGAAGATGCCACGTGGCTGCCCCAGCTGATTGCTCGAGCCGGCTCGGCGCGTGAAAGCCACACCTGCGGCGGAGCCTTGCGGGTTCCTGTGGGCGGCGTCCGCGCCGTCTCGACCCCGATTCCCCCCGCGCTCCTGGCGATGCCCCGACGCGCCACCAGTGTCGGAGCCGAGACCCCCTCCAGAGCGACGCAGCCGCGCCGCCGCGCCTGCTGCGCCGCTCCGTCTCGGTGCAGATGCCCCAGCGCCCTGACGGCGCCCCGAGGCGCCACCGATCGCGGGGCGAGGCCCCCGCCGATGCCTCCTCGGCGGGTGCCCCGAGGCGCCACCAATCGCCGATGCGACGCCGGGCGCCTCCCTGCCTCGAAGGGGGTCCTCCTCCTCCTCCTCCTCCTCCTCCTCCTCCTCCTCCTCCTCCTCCTCCTCCTCCTATTCCTCCTCCTCCTCAGGCAGGGCAGGCGCCGAGGGGGCCGGGGATCCGAGCGGCGCGGGCGCGCCGCTAAGCATCGCACCCGCAGCAGTCCTGGTGGGAGGATGGGATGCGCACGCGCGACGTCAGGCAAAGCCTTGCCTCCCACACGATCTTTGAGGAGAAAAATCGCCATGAGCATAAACTGTTGGCGCTACGCGCGGGTTTCTTGGATCCGCGCTGGACCCCCCCGGCGGCGCCTCCGGCGCCGCCCCTGGTGCGCTCCGCGCGCCAGGGAGGGGGGGTTCAGCGCGGACCCGCCAAAATGTTTTTATGGCGTCTTTTTTTCTATATCAATTTCCCCCTCCCCCTCCCCTCCAGTCCCTCCCCTTGCTAATCCGACCCATCCCCCTCTCATGCCTCCCCCTACCCCCCCCTTCCTCCCGCCACCCCACCCCATGCGTTCCCATGCGAGGCGTACGAGCATGGTGGAATCGCGCGAGATGGGGCGAAGATGGTGAATGCGGTTGCCTGCGCCGACGTGCCGAAGATCACGGTGCGGCCTCAAATCCTCAACCATCTTCTTGTTCATATCCCCACTTATCCTCATCCTCATTTCTCATCATCCGTTTCGTGCTTTTTATGTTCGTCCTCTTCGCCTTCCACCTCCGTCCAGTTTCTTTGTGGATGAATCCTCCCCCGCCTCCTCTTTCTCCTCCACGCATCGCCAGACTTGGCATTGTAACGCTCTGGGTGTTTCGCTTTGCTACAAGAGATTGCCGCAGCGTCACAGCAAAACCTGTCAACGCTTTCCAACCCGAGAGACATTACACGGACGACCTTGCACGGCGCGCTGCAACAGACCACGAGGGCTTGTCGATGGGGCCACAGGTGAGACATTCTCCGTCCTGCCCAGAGACCCTCCGAAGCGCATGCCTGAAGGGCTAGCGAACCATACTCAAGAAGATATCAACCCCGACAATGGCTCATTGCATATGATGCAGAGTGTGTCGCGCCCCAGGCGACGTAAGAAGCAACGACAGGAAGAAAGAGCTCCCATATCCTCGCCCAAAATTTGTATGCCGATACGTAGCCACAGTAGCCAGAAAAGCAATGGCATCCATAGAAAATAGTACACCCAGACCGATTCCCAGAGACCGCTAGACACGAAACTGGTGCCAGACGGATTGCATCGCTGGCGGGACATGACGACCAGCATGTCCGAGCTGCTGGCGCGTATGCACACCAACATCCACCCAAGCAAGCCCGCTGAAGCACCTGCACGCAGAAGTGAATCCCGCAGCCGAGCAGAACAAGCCGTAACAAGAAGCCGCGAGTTGGCGTGCTCCCACCCTGGAAGAGGCCATTGGCCATGGTAAGTGCCCAGAGCGCATGCTGATGAAGCAGCCTGTTCATCCGACCCGAGCGGAGAGAGCTTGAGAGGAATCGCAGCAGGAGCGGGATGAGGAGGAGAAGGTGGAGGAGAAAGAAGAGGATGAAATGGGGGAAAGAAGTCAGGCATGTAGGGGGGGGGGGCCGAAGCACACAGGCAGGGAACAGGGGCCAGAACAGGAGGAGGAGCAGGAGGCGGAGCAGGAGAATGGCGAGGACACGGCCGAGGACGCCGAGCAGCAGCATGACCATCCGGAGCAGGACCAAGAGTAGGACCAGGAGCAGGAGCAGTTCGGGAGCTGGAGCAGCAGCACGGAGGAGCAGGAGCAGCGTGGAGGGTGGAGTTCCATTGCCTTGTCGATTGCCCCGGGTCTGGGAGGTCATCGTAGCTGGCAGCCACGGCGCTGGCAATTACGGCATGTGCGGGCGCGCTTACGACCCGCGATTCTTGTTCATGTGGCCGAACGCAAGGACGACGGCGCGAGGGGGGTAGCAGTGTCTTTGTAGTAGGTTTAGGTGGTCGTAGTCGTAGTCGTAGTCGTAGTCGTAGTAGTAGTAGTAGTAGTAGTAGTAGTAGTAGTAGTAGTAGTAGTAGTAGTAGTAGTAGTAGTAGTAGTAGTAGTAGTAGTAGTAGTAGTAGTAGTAGTAGTAGTAGTAGTAGTAGTAGTAGTAGTAGTAGTAGTAGTAGTAGTAGTAGTAGTAGTAGTAGTAGTAGTAGTAGTAGTAGTAGTAGTAGCGTAGTCGTAGTCGTAGTCGTAGTCGTAGTCGTAGTAGTAGTAGTAGTAGTAGTAAGTAGTAGTAGTAGTAGTCGTAGTAGCAGTAGTAGTAGTAGTAGTAGTAGTAGTAGTAGTAGTAAGTAGTAGTAGTAGTAGTAGTAGTAGTCGTAGTAGTAGTCGTAGTCGTAGTCGTAGTAGTAGTAGTAGTAGTAGTCGTAGTAGTAGTAGTAGTAGTAGTAGTAGTAGTAGTAGTAGTAGTAGTAGTAGTAGTAGTAGTAGTAGTAGTAGTAGTAGTAGTAGTAGTAGTAGTAGTAGTAGTAGTAGTAGTAGTAGTAGTAGTAGTGTGGTAGTAGTAGTAGTAGTAGTAGTAGTAGTAGTAGTAGTAGTAGTAGTAGTAGTCGTAGTAGTAGTAGTAGTAGTAGTAGTAGTAGTAGTAGTAGTAGTCGTAGTCGTAGTCGTAGTAGTAGTAGTAGTAGTAGTAGCAGTAGTAGTAGTAGTAGTAGTAGTAGTAGTAGTAGTAGTAGTAGTAGTAGTAGTAGTAGCAGTAGTAGTAGTAGTAGTAGTAGTAGTAGTAGTAGTAGTAGTAGTAGTAGTAGTAGTAGTAGTAGTAGTAGTAGTAGTGGTTTTAGTAGTAGTAGCAGCAGTAGTAGTAGTTGTTGTCTGAGTAGTCGTAGTAGTAGTAGTAGTAGTAGTAGTAGTAGTAGTAGTACCAGTAGTAGTAGTAGTAGTAGTAGCAATAGTAGTAGTCGTTGTCGTAGTCGTAGTCGTAGTCGTAGTCGTTTCAGTAGTAGTAGATGTAGTAGTAGTAGTAGTAGTAGTAGCAGTCGTAGCAGTAGTAGTAGTAGTAGTAGTCGTAGTAGTAGTAGTAGTAGAAGAAGAAGAAGCAGTAGCAGTAGCAGTAGCAGTAGCAGTAGCAGTAGCAGCATTTGCCGTCGAAGTAGTACTTCTGCTACTTCTGCTACTGCTACTACTACTACTGCTACTACTACTACTACTACTACTACTACTACGACTAATGGTAGTAGTAGTAGTAGTAGTAGTAGTAGTAGTAGAAGTAGTAGAAGTAGTAGTCGTAGTCGTAATCGTAGTCGGTGTCGTCGTCGGCGTCGTCGTAATCATAGTCGTAGTCGTAGCAATACTAGTAGTAGTAGGTGTTGTTGTAGAACGTAGTAGTGACGGTTTCTCCTAATGGTGAAATAAGCGTTTTAATGGTGAAATAGAAATCTTAATGGTGAAATAGAATTTCTTAATGGTGAAATAGAATTTCTTAATGGTGAAATAGAATACCTTAATGGTGAAATAGAATACCTTAATGGTGAAATAAAATACCTTAATGGTGAAATAGCGGCGCATGCAAACACCACGCAAAAACACGACGTAAACCGCGACCCACCCCACGGCGCTCCGGCGCCGCTCCAGCGGCGCACGCAAACACCACGCAAAAACACCACGCAAAGATTCCCCGCTCCAGCGGCGCACGCAGACACCACGCAAAAACACCACGCAAAGACTCCCCGTTCCAGCGGCGCACGCAAACACCACGCAAAAACACCACGCAAAGACGCGCCGCTCCAGCGGCGCACGCAAACACCACGCAAAAACACCACGTAAACCGCGACCCGCCCCACGGCGCTCCGGCGCCGCTCCAGCGGCGCACGCAAACACCACGCAAAAACACCACGTAAACCGCGACCCGCCCCACGGCGCTCTGGCGCCGCTCCAGCGGCGCACGCAAACACCACGCAAAAACACCACGTAAACCGCGACCCGCCCCACGGCGTTCCGGCGCCGCTCCAGCGGTGCACGCAAACACAACGCAAAAACACCACGCAAAAACACCACGCAAAAACACCACGTAAACCGCGACCTGCCCCACTGCGCTCCTGGGGTGCTGCAGCGGCGCTGCAGCGGGCTGCAGCGGCGCTCCAGCTGCGCTCCTGCGCCGCTCCAGCGGCGCACGCAAACACCACGCAAAAACACCACGCAAAAAAACACGCCGCGTGAACCGCGACCTGCCCCACTGCGTCCCCGCGCCGCCCCAGCGGCGCACAAATACACTACGCAAATACACCACGCAAAAACACCACGTAAACCGCGACCTGCCCCACTGCGCCCCCGCGCCGCTCCAGCGGCGCACGCGAACACAACGCAAAAAAAACACAACGTAAACCGCGGCCTGCCCCACGGCGCCCCTGCGCCGCTCCAGTGGCGCACGCAAACACCACGCAAAAACACCACGCGGAAACAAAAAAAAAAAAAACCACGCAAACCGCGTCGGCAGCAGTGGCGGCGACGATAACGGCGGCTGTGACGTAGGAGCTGGATTCTTGACGCTCTGCGCCACTGGCCCATCCAAAAACGATGCCCGGTCAGGTTGAGGTAGCCAGGGAAGCGCAGGAGCAAAGAAGGGGTGCAGCCGCTATCTTTGAAAGGAGAAGGAGGAGGAGGAGGAGGAGGAGGAGGAGGAGAAGGAGGAGGAGGAAATGTGTGAGGAGGAGGACATGGAGGACGACGTATAAAACACCACGTAAACCGCGACCTGCCCCACTGCGCTCCAGGGGCGTTGCAGCGGCACTGCAGCGGCGCTCCAGCTGCGCCCCTGGGCGCCCTGGCGCCGCTCCACGCATAGCAACCAAAAAAAAGCACCACGTGAACCGCGACCTGCCCCACTGCGTCCCTGCGCCGCCCCAGCGGTGCACAAAAACACCACGCAAATACACCACGCAAAAACACCACGCAAAAACACACCACGTGAACCGCGACCTGTCCCACGGCGCTCCGGCGCCGCCACAGCGGTGCAAAAAAACACCACGCAAAAACACCACGCAAAAGCACCACGTGAACCGCGACCTTCCCCACTGCGTCCCCGCGCCGCCCCAGCGGCGCACAAAAACACCATGCAAAAACACCACGCAAAAACACCACGCAGAAAAACACGCCGCGTGAACCGCGACCTGCCCCACTGCGTCCCCGCGCCGCCCCAGCGGCGCACAAATACACCACGCAAATACACACCACGTGAACCGCGACCTGTCCCACGGCGCTCCGGCGCCGCCACAGCGGTGCAAAAAAACACCACGCAAAAACACCACGCAAAAGCACCACGTGAACCGCGACAATCCCCACTGCGTCCCCGCGCCGCCCCAGCGGCGCACAAAAACACCACGCAAATACACCGCGCAAAAACACCACGCAGAACAAAAAAACACGCCGCGTGAACCGCGACCTGCCCCACTGCGTCCCCGCGCCGCCCCAGCGGCGCACAAATACACTACGCAAATACACCACGCAAAAACACCACGCAAAAACACACCACGTGAACCGCGACCTGCCCCACTGCGTCCCCGCGCCGCCCCAGCGGCGCACAAAAACACCACGCAAACACACCACGCAAAAACACCACGCAAAACCGCTACGTGGTGTTTTTGCGTGGTGTTTTTGCGTGGTGTATTTGCGTGATGTCTAATTCACCCTCCAGCGTTCGCGTGGTGTTTTTGCGTAGTGTTTTTGCGTGGTGTATTTGCGTGGTGTTTTTGCGTGGTGTCTGATTTCACCATTAGGACGAACTCTCGTAGAAGTAGCC